AAGAAGAAGAAGAAGAAGAAGAAGAAGAGAAGAAGAAGAAGAAGAAGAAGGAGAAGAAGAAGAAGAAGAAGAAGATCTGTCTTTTTGTGTTTTACCTCGTCTGTGAGTGTCTTGTAAACGCTATTCCACAGTTCTAAAAATACCACTTTTACGCGGCAAATAAAAAGTTGGAGATGGGGAACGGGCTGTCTAATCTTCAAATTGGCCTGCACATTGGCCTTAATAACAAACACACGTCCACCACTTCTGAACACAACATCATTCACTCTATCCGTGCCTCTTATCCCTCCCCCTCTCTCTCTCTCTCTCTCTCTCTCTCTCTCTCTCTCTCTCTCTCACTCTCACGCACACATACACACATACACACATACACACATACACTTCCTCTTCACCTCCCTCCCTCCTCCTCTCTCTCTCTGTATGTGTGTGTATGTGTGTGAGTGTGTGTGTGGGAGGGGGGGGTTAAGTTTGGGTGTCTGAATGTGCATACGTGTTTGCCTTGACATACACTCGCTTCATTCCATCAGCAACCCACACATCAACGCACACACTCACTCACTCACTCACCCACAGACACACAGACACACAGACACATACACATAAACACAAGTCATTTATACGAAACTGTTGAAGACAAAAATGAGTGACCTCAGTGGTATTTTTCTCCCTGCCAACTCGCTGCATAATGTGTCAATTTTCGCCACAGAACTCGACGCGCATACATTTATTACGCACGCCCACCCGGGGATGTCTGGTTTTCGTTACAACTTTGTTTACAGCTCTTCTATCAGTTTCACTCACCCTCTGTCGTCTTGCTCTCTCACACACACACATACACTCACACACACACCGTCACTCACACACCACTTTTTTCATACACAGCACTGTCTACTCACGTCTGGCACTGCACTCACCGCTCCTGGCAGAGCTAGCCTAATGCACTCACAGCGTTTTGCAATCGAATGAGCGCGTAGATTCGTGAACACATCAGGTCCACAACCACCACCACCACCACCACCACCACCTCCTCCTCCTCCTCCTCTTCTTCTTCTTCTTTTTCTTCTTCTTCTTCTTCTTCTTCTTCTTCTTCTTCTTCTTCTTCTTCTTCTTCGACCTGCATACCTGGTAAAGTTTATATACAGAGAAATGGATGGTTTGAGGACATACCAGAAAATTAAATCAACCATTCCCACTGGAGCCATAATATTCTTTACCTCCTCATTTTTTTGGTTTGTAGGTTGGGAGGGTAAGGAGATATGGGTGGGAGTGGGGAAAACGCTCCTCGCAAAAGCCCCCTTCCCTCCTTGCCTTTCCTTTATCTTGTCAGACTCTACTATCAGCAAGCAAAGATCATCACCTGATCCCCCCCCCCCTCTTCCCTTTCCACATCTTAGCCGTACTCACCACTAGACGAGGGGGGGGGATGGGTTGGGGAGGCTCGTGGAAGTGGGAGGGGGGTGGGTGGGAGGGGTTGGCGCTCACTTTTCTTTTCTCTTTTTGTTACCTTCTCATGCCGGGTACGTGTGGGTGCTACGTCATCAGTTTCTGTGCCGTTTGTGTTCGTTTGATGTTTATTACTGGCACCCATCGCCTGCCTTCAGTCGCTCGCTGCCGCAGCGACCACCGCCTCTGGGATACCTCTGCCACGGCTACCATCCCGACAACAACAACAACAACTCCTTTCACCAACCACCACCACCACCACCACCACCACCACAACAGCAACAGCGGTATTATACCGGCGAGCTGCTGTGACCAGTTGTGTTTATTTCACACCAACCTCGTAAGTCAGTGTGTGCTGATAATGTGATTCAAATATTTTTAAATATCGTTTATTTGCACGGTCTGCTAGCTGAACGAAATATTAATTTACACTAATGTTTGTCGTATTACAACGTATTGATATGTCTTTTGTAATTAGCAACGTCGTTTTTACCGGAACAAATCGTGACAGAAGAACATTTGGTTCGACCGGCGATCCCCGTGTTGTAAACTCCCCACCCGGTTGGGGAGTAATTAGAGCAATTCCTCACTGTTGAGCTAATTCTTTCTTCATCGTAAATAATATAATAAGAATCTAATGTGTTAAGAATGCAAACATTGTTATGACGCTTATCCTCCTGACGAATGGCACCATTGCAATACTGAGGCTCACGTTCGTGAACGTACACCGTATCTCTTAACAACACGTCATAAAGTGGATTATTATAAATGAGAATGTCGTGTAAGCCCCATCATCATCATCTTCATTAACTTCGTCCTCTTCCACCACCACAACCTCAGCTGCACCAATAACACCACAATAATTACGGGCAACTACAACATCCCGTTGATTGTTTACCCCCGCGTCTCAGGCGAGTTCTCAGTCCTCCTCGTTTGAGCTTTTTCTTGTTTTTCTGATCAACTAACCGGATTATTATCAGTGCCTAGTTTGGCCTCAGTCCTGCTTGACCTAAGCTGCTCATACCCCTCTCTCTTTACTCCCCTCCCCCTCTCTGTCTCTCTGTCTCTGTCTCTCTGTCTCTTTCTCTCTCTCTCTCTCTCTCTCTCTCTCTCTCTTTCTCTCTCTCTGTGTCTCTGTCTCTGTCTCTGTCTGTCTGTC